CTTATATGTTTAATTTATAAATAACAATAATTTATTAATAAAAGAAATAGGTCAATTTTATTTTGGTTTATTAGGTACTTATCTAATCCTGTTTAAATTAAAATGTCAAGTCAAGAAATATCAAAAAAAAAAAATGCAAAAAAACATCCATGTTAACTAATACAGATAAAAAACATCGGTGAAAATATCGAAAATCGAAACGGAAAAATGGATGTTTTTTAACGTGCGCATCCCTAAGCAAAGCAAATTTTATGTATCTGCCCCGCTTTGGTTTGGAATGAACTAGGTTCCAGATCTTCGTATTTACCCGACTGGATTCTATACTGACTTTAAACATTCTTTACCTAATTATTCAACCATGACCTTCGTCAAAAGGTATGCAGGTATGCAGTGGGCGGCTGGGGTAATTTTAAATGGGTGTTCAATTTTTTTCCAATAATTTTAGTATTTGTAAGTTCGATTCCAAACTCTGTACAAGCTTGAATATCCCATATTCCTCGAAAGTTTTTTGGTATCGTCTGATTTTTTTAAGATTCCCTAGACATGAAAATATTGCTTGATAACTTCACTTAGATGATCCATTACCAGAAATGATTTTATGAAATATGTCTGTTATTTACGTTTTGAGAAGAAAATTCTTCAAATAAAAGTTACTTCTTATATTATTTTCTATAATTTTTGTTCTATACAAAATTTTCCTAAAATGGTCTGTATTCGAGAAATTTGACAAAATGTAAAAAAATCAAATTTTTATGAAAATTTTTCAAATAAAAGTTATTTGCGATATAATTCTCTATAATTTTTGTTCCATACATAATTTCTCCAAAATGGATCGTATTCGAGATATTTGAGAAAAAGTATAAATTTCGAATTTTAAAAAAAATTCAAAAACTGATAAAGAAAAACACATTAAATTTTAAACTTAAGCTTTATTCCATCGTGAGGTGAACTGATTAAATTTTGGGCAGAGTCGGAACATCTGGGGGTATTTGATGGGTGGTCAGTTTTATATTTTATAAAATATATCTGTTATTTACGTTTGAAGAAGAAAATTCTTTAAATAAAAGTTACTTCTAATATTATTCTCTGTAATTTTTGTTCCATACAAAATTTTCCTAAAATATTTCGTATTCGAGAAATTTTTCAAATGTAAAAAATTCTGATTTTTAAGAAAATTGTCGTTAAACTAAAAGATGTTTACGATATCGACCTCTATAATTTTAGTTTTTTACGTAATAACTAGATAGGAAAGTCATGTGTTGGACACATCAGATTTTTTTTCAAAAAATCATCAAATACCTATCTGTAGTTTTATTTAAAACATGTCAAACCTTTAATTTTGTGAGACTAAAGTGATATACCTATGTCGACCTGAAATGACTTGGTGTTTGTTCTTGGCTTAGTACAAAATCTTTTGGTTCGGGTATTTCTAGTCTTCATAGGTACGGGATAAATTGACTGTATACGTATTTATTGTGATAAGAAATAATTTTATTCTTGTTTGGACTTACCTTGTTTCTCGTGAGCTCTTGCAACTGGTACTGATGCCGGGGCACCTTGTCACTATTCAACGAAAATTTAAATTATTGCGCGACAGACATTCTTAAAAATTCACAACCGTTCTCCCTTAATAATTCAACGACACTGTTGATTCCTCCCTCTCAGATAAATAAGTAACTACAGTTTTTACTTTCCTATCTGTATACAGATATAAGGAAAGTATAGGAATCATGAATCGCATAACTCATGAACCGATACACGGAAAAACACCAAAGCGGTAAGGTAAGTATAAGTTTTGGATTTCCACTTTTGCGATGAGGTTTAATGAGTTCTCCCTATTCAGAAATATTCCTTCATTTGTAATATGACAGAATTTCACTCATTTTATCTACTAAGATTTTTAACAGACAAGCTTCTTAATTTGTCTAAATATATTTTTTTACTTTCTGTATACAAATAAGGAAAGTATAGAAATCATGATGCTTTCGACGGATTTTTACGTTTTTGGATCCCCTGAATCCGTTTTGACTATTTTCGCGATGATGTCTATCTGTGTATGTCTGTATCATCGGTAAACTGAATAGATTTTGGACAGAGTCGGAATATCTAGGGGTCATTTTTATATGTTATGGAATATTGTAACATTTTAAAATGTTATTTTAATTGTGTGACGTCCTGTATAAAATAGTATTCGATTAATTCAAATTCAATTATCGCCGGACGCAATATTCCTAAGAAAGGGAAATTTCGTGAAGTGGGAGTACAGTAATGCAGACGATATCGACATCAGGTCTTAAAATTTCATTTTCTGATATTATCTTAAAGTATCTACTAGTGTCTGACTGTACAAGCGGTGAGTAAAAAAATATAATGTCGTTTTAAAAAATATCTCAGTAGAAATTATATTTCAACCTGTTATTAGTTATAATATTTTTTATAAGTCAAGTTAAATTTATTAAATATATAATTCGTTTTGGTTGCTGGAATTGCACATTGTTTATAATAATTGTTCAAATAAAAGTTGTTTGTTATATTATTTTCTATAATTCTTGTTCCATACATAATTTCTGTAAGCGGAATCTAACGTAGCGGAGCAAACGAGCTTTATGCGTTGCACTACACCGGTATACTGCCGATCGAGAAAGGACTGTGAAGGACTGGCGGCTGATCGCGTTAGAAGGCGGTAATTGGGCGAGTGACTCCTCTTTTATAGTTATATTTTGTACTCTTTGGTTTTACTTTGTACACCAATTAAATCGTTTGTAACATTAACAATTAACTTAAAATTATGAAAATAACGATGTTCTTGGAAGGCCTATTGTACAGAGAAGGCATCTAAGTGAAATTGAAGTAGCAAGAGCCGTTACACTATTACAAGGACGTTCGCAGAGATACGTAGCCCGCTTGCTTTAAACAAGTCAACCAACGATTCACCGAATGTGAAATAGATTTCAAGACAGGTATTATCCGTAGAAGACCATATACACCACGAGAAAGAATAACTACGCCCCGACAGGACCGCCAAATTGTACGATTATCCCTACAAAATAGGACAAGAACAGCTACACAGATAAGAAACTTACATTTTTAGGCCGCTGGTAGACGCATATCTCTACAGACTACACGTAACAGACTTCATGAGGCACAACTACACTCAAGAAGTCAAGCTATTGTTCCTCATTTAACACCAGCTCATCGTAGAGCAAGAAGAAACTTTGCAGCAGAACATGTAAATTGGGATATTCATCAATGGAGCCATGTTCTTTACTTTTACTCCAACGATGGACGTGTGAGAGCCAATAGACTCCATAGAGAACGATTTTTGGATTGCAATGTAAGAGAAGTAAGAGCTTTTGGGGGTGGTTCTGTAATGGTTTGAGGAGGTATTCAATTGAACGGGCGTACACGCTTACATGTTTTTGAAAATGGCACTTTAACAGCTAGGCGTTATATCGATGAGATATTAGCACCTATTGTCGTTCCACTGGCTCATCTAGAAGACCCTAATTTTGTTTTACAACAAGATAATGCAAGGCCCCACACTGCAATAATTGTTCAAAACTTTATTGAAAAGGAAAATCTTACTGTAATGGAGTGGCCAGCCAATAGCCCTGACTTAAACCACATTGAAAATCTTTGGAGCATCATGGGAAGAAGATTGCGGGATCGAGAACAGTCAAATAATCTACAGGTGTTAGCAGTATAACTTCAGGAGGAACGGAACAATATTCCTCAAGGAACGATTCGTAAATTAATAGAATCTATGCCTAGACGTTGTGTCGAAGTTTTAAGAGCCAGAGGAGGGCATATACACATTATTAGTTTTTGTTTATTTTGAAATTTTGTTATATTAATAAACAAGTGTTATCAATTTGCTTTATTTTTAACTTTATTAAATGTACGATAATGTTTAAAAATTAAAACTTGCATACTCTTAAAGACACATACCTAAGCTATAAGAACACAAAATTTAAGGTAAGTATCCTCTCTTTTTGGAGTTCTAACAATATAAATAAGTGATACCTATTTCGTTGTGACTAGTTTATATAGAAAAATGTTTGGAGTTAGAGGTATGTGGAAAATGTATATATTTAGTTTATCTTCTAAACATTTACAGAGGTGCTGCAATAGGTTGTACAAAATAACCGGAAAAAGCCTGTAATAAACAGATAGGAAAGTCATGTGTTTAGGGCCGTCGAGAGCCAGACCGGGCCCCAGGACAATTTGCCAGATCTGGCCCCGCAAGCAAAAGAATTTCTCTAAAAAAAAAAGAAAAAGTCATTAAACAAAAATTTTTCCTTTACTTAAATCTTTTTAAAAAAGTCTTCAACTAAGAACTTTCCCCCTCTTCTGTCGTCGAACTTCTGAAAGTAACAAACATCACAGCTACCGGGACCCCCTTATACAGCTATCGGGCCCCGGGAATTAATCCCGGCTGCCCCCCCTCTAGTCAGCCCCCAGCATGTGTTGGACACATCAGATTTTTTTTGTGTATGTTCAGTGACAAATTATTCGATTTCTACTATTCTCTTTTGCTAGAAAGGAGATACCTTCGAGGTGGTCCCACATAAATTTGGTTAAAATCTGAAAATGTAATCTTTGATGTATATTTAGTGATAATTATTTAACAATTTGTCTGATTTCTACGATTCTTTTTGTGTTAGAAAGAGGATAGCTCAGGGGTGGTCTCATTAAATTTGTTCAAAATCTTAGGTTATATGTATATTCAGCGATATTTACCACTTTGTCCGATTTCTGCGATTCTTTATGCATTAGAAAGGGATGTTTTCATATACATCTGGTCAATATCTGATGATGGAATCTATGAGAAAATAAGTAGATTAAATAACTTTTATAACCATATTTAATGGTATTCCATTAATTCCGCTACTAAATTTAGTGGGAAATAGAAAAATTGAATCGTTACATTGAAAGTAAATTTAAAATGCTGTTAGTTGAGTTATACTAATTAAAAGAAAAACATAAATAAAACAATCTTTAACATATGTATAGTGTTTATTCACATTTTTTGTACACTAATCTATTTAACATAAAATTAGATTTTTACAGTAACATCGAAAATGTCAAAACCTACATGAAAAAAACGAATCCGTTCACCATCTAGAATTAAAATACTGAAAAGCTTCAAAATGGTACAGAGCTGTGTTTACATTTTGCTTTATACAATGGGCAATGACATTTAAATATGGAATGTAGAATTTCCACTTTAACACGGATACCACGAAACAAATAATATAATAGGGGCTTAGTTGTGCCAATGATTATTAACATTCAAAAAAAAAATGTCAACTTAAAATATGATAAAAACGGTATTGTCTTACGTTCATCTAAATAAATGGAACGGGTACATAAGTAAATATTTTTAGACTCTTGAAATTAGGAAATTATGTACAGGGTGGATCCTCTACCTACTTTGCTAAATTGCTTCCTACAACGCTTTTTTTAAATAAAAATAAAACTATATTTTCGTAAAAATTTCAAATCAAAATCACATTTTTTTTTTAAATTCTTTCGAACGTCCTCTAAAGCCGCGATAAAGAAATTGTAAAACGCAAATAGCAAACTAAGTGCCTCGCCCCGCATTTGAATATAATACATAAAGCGCATTTCTCAAACACGCTCTTAAGTATTTACAAAAAATTGCACCGCAACATCGGTTTAAAATTATTTTGGTAAAATCAATTGATCGGTACAAGTGGACTTCTTTTTTTTAACAAACCTAACAAACTCCCTACATAGAAGGTTTCTTAAGAATTTAACATAAAAAAAATTGGAAGTCGATTCATTTTCTGTTATTAAATGACAACGTAGAGCACGAAATTGGCGCAGTCGGCAGGATTCATATTAGTATTTTCAAAACAAAACAATTAAATCGTCTTCCAACTATTTTTTCGAAATAAACCTAACAAACGCCCTATAGTACATAAAATTTATACATAATAGAACTAATGACGCGAGTCTCTGGGATAGAATTCGGCCAATATACTGGCTGGGATACGTTTCAACATTTCCTTGGGGAAGATACGGAGTAGTTGCCAACCGATGTCCAATGATTCGAAAACGGTACGGTTTTCGTAGTTACCCTGAGTGATGAAGTTCTTTTCGAATTTCGTTAAGAATTCCAAGTACAGGAGATCGTCAGGTGTAAGAGCTTCCTCTCCTACTACGGCTTTCATAGCTTGGACATCCTTACCGATAGCGTAACAGGCATACTGGAAGATTAAAAAGGTAAATTTACTTTTTGATTTGTAGAAATTAATATTCATAATTGTAAATATAAATTATATTCCGTGCATAAATTTACAAAATATTGAAACCAAACGTTTTAGCAAAAACATTAAAAGTAAAACAAGAATAATCTGTAAAAGTAGCCTATATTATGTTGTTTATCTAAGAACTCTTATACAGGGTAGCAAAAAAGTCTGGCAACTAGGTATTTGTTTTTTGTAACAAATCAATATATTAAATTCTATTCAAATTTATTCGATTAATGAAGTCGTTGATGCTGCTAATATTACAAATAAAATTAATTTAAGTGAAAAACTCCTAAATATCTTACATTTCAATATTAGGAGTATTAAAAAGAATTTTGATGAGTTGTTAGTATTTCTAGAAAGTTATAAAATTAATTATTGTGATATAATAGTTTTGACTGAATGTTTCCAATGGGCCCGTTCACTTTTATTTTTGAATGTGAATTATTTATATATTTATAAAGATATTAAACTCTTTTGTCTGGTGGTACTTTTCCCGTTAAGATATTTTTGCTAGAAGTAAGGTAATTCCCATAAAATTCTTTCAGTGACTCATTGCGCCAGAAAACCCCTAATTCCCTTCAGGTCTCGTATCGGTTAATAGTTAAAAGGGCGCGGTTGTCGGATGTATCATTGCACCACCATTCCTCTTCTGCATTTATTAAAGAAATTTACATGATAAAAATATATTATTTTTTAAAAATAATGTGTTTATATTTTCAGATAAAGCTGGAAGCCCTACCTTTTTTAAATTTTAATAAAAACAATTAGTATTACTCAAGCTGAATATTACCAGATCGAAATTTTATTTGAGAAAATGTATCTGGTAAACGTGACAACGTTGTAAGTACTTCTAAATAGTGTTGTCTACACACACTTCTAGAAATAAATGCAACGTTGCCACGTTTACCAGATAAATATTGCAAATCAAATTTCTACTTTTTGATTATGGTCTGGTTAATTTTCAGCCTGAGTAATAATAATTGTTTTAATTAAAAAGTAAAAAATAAGCTCCAGCTTTAAATCTGAAAATATAAGTTCATGATGTTTAGAAAAATAATGGAATTTTACTATTTAAAGTACATATATAAATGCAGAAATGCTATATTAGGGATACTTCCGACAACCCCGCCGTCTTTAAGCATAACCGATACGAGACGTGAACGGAATTAGGGGATTTTCTGACGCAATGAGTCACTGAAAGAATTTTATGGGAATTCCCTTACTTCTAGCAAAAATATCTTAACGGGAAAAGTACCACCAGACAAAAGAGTTTAATATCTTTATAAATATATAATTAATTCACATTCAAAAATGAAAGTGAACGGGCCCATTAGAATGTATTTCTCAATTTAACCTAGATGGCTTCACCACCCACTATAACAATGGTAACATTAACAGAAATGATGGTGTTGTAAATTTGGTCAGGTCAAATCTAAATGCAGAATTAAATATAGTTAAACTGGAATATTCTGATATTTGTGTCACTAAAATAAATCTAAAAGTCAATCATCAGAACATTGACATTACAGATGTATACAGGTCTCCTCAAACCTCTGCACAGGCATTTATAAAGGATTTAGAAAATTTTATACCAAATCACTTAAATAGAAATATTGCAATATTCATAGGGGACATTAATATTGATCTCTTAAATGTAACACAATCAAGTAACTACTGATTACCAAGCAATATTTTACTCCCATGGTTTCATGTCTTACATAAACACTATTACGAGGCCACAAAGTAAAATATGCTTGGATCATATATTCTTAAAAAACAATATTAAGACTGAAATCTATCAGTGATCTCACAATCTGCCAAAAACTACACAAGTTCTTACAATACATATAAAACTATAACTAAAATCGATACTGATAAATTAAAACAAGAATTCGAAACTGTAAACTGGAAAAGTATTTGCAATGAAAATAATCCAGAAATTGCAACACAAGTTTTTTATGACACGTATCTTAATATCATTGAAAGATGTCAAACCACTCAAAATATTAAAATTAAAATCCATAAAAAAATAAAGCCATAAAGCCATGGATAACAAATGGTTTAATTAATTCTATTAAAACCAGGGATAAATTGAAAAAAGATCTACAAAAAACTATACTATTAACAAACAAACTATAAAACATTTAGAAATAATTTAAACAAACTAATATCAAAAACTAAAAATGACTATTATAACAATAAAATAAACCAAAAACAAAAATGATCTGAAAAAACTTATCAATTAATCTCTGAAGCAACTAATGAATATCATAAAAAAATAATACCAATTTACAGATTATTAACCAACATAATGAGGAATTTGTAAATGATAATGAAATGACGAATTTCTGCAATAACTACTTTTCGACTATTGGCACTAATATGTTCAAAAATAACCCTGAATGTAATGTGCATTTTTTTGTGTCACTGAAAAATCAATGTTTCTGAAATCAATATACGAAAACGATATTATAAAACACATAAATAGTTTAAAAAACAATAGTGTCCCGGGATTTGATTGTATAACAGTAAAACATCTGAAACTACTACATCCGTATTTACTGGAACCTTTAATGCATATAATTAATTGTATTTTAAATACAGGAATCGTATCTAAACAATTTAAAACTTCAATAATAACACCTATTTATAAAGCTGGTAATCCAAAATAAATAACTAACTATAAGCCTATTAATTTAATTAGTAATGTGACCAAAATATTTGAGAAATATGTGAAAGATAGACTGACAGATTTTTTAAAAACTAATTACTTACTTCTCAATCACCAATATGGCTTTACTGAGGGTCTTCACTCAGGAGATGCTATGCATGAATTGATTTCATATGTTACTGATGAAATGAATACTGGTAACAAGTGTATATATTTCTAGATCTAGCAAAAGCATTTGGCATGGTGCCACATCAGAAGCTCTTAAATGTACTTGAACAGAATGGAGTGAGGGGCATCGCGTTGAAGGTTTTTGAAAATTATTCGACACACAGACAACACAAGGTAAAGGTCAGAGACAATGTGAGTAAACCTGAAAATATACAAATCGGAGTGCCTCAAGGGACTGTTCTGGGACCCATACTATTTAATTTATCCATTAAGAGCTTAACTCAGATTAATATTCAAGGTAAAGTTATATTATATGTTGATGATACAGTGCTAATCTTTAGTGATAAAGATTGGAAAGCTATCAAGACACATGCTATAGCTGGAATGGAACATGTCAAAAACTGGCTGGATGTTTTTAAATTGTTTTTGAATGTTAACAAAACAAACTAAATTGCTTTTTCAAAGACAGTTGCTGATCGACCTCAATTTAGAAGCTTAACATGTCAAAATTTAGACATACAGGAAACAGAAACATCTAAATATTTAGGTATAATTATTATAGACCAGCACTTAAAATGGTACTGCCATATAATATATATAGGAAAAAAACTTAGATTTCTGATTTATAAATTTTATCTTCTAAATCAATTTCTCAACCAGGACCTACTAATAACATTGTACTACAGTCTAGTAGAATCTGTACTATGGTATGGAATCTTAGTATGGGGAGGATTGTATGGAACTACATTAAATCAGTTAAATGTTATTCAAAACAAAATCTTGAAGTTAATATATAAAAGAGATAGATTGTGTCCCACCATAATTTTATATAATGAAAAAATTAGCAATGTTAGATGTTTATATATTCACGCAGTGTGTTATTATATACAAAAAAATTAATGTTTAAAAAACCCTTTAGAACATAGACATAACACTAGAACTGCACCGAACATGTGCATTAAAGTACCAAAACCAAATAGTGTGTTTTTTAAAAACAGTGTAAATTATCTAGGGACAAAGTTCTATAACGCTCTACCTTTTCATATAAAATTATTAAACAAATATAAAAAATGCTGTAAAGTTTATCAGAATATTCCAAGAATAACGTACTTTATACATGGTTTTTTTTTTAAATAGTTTTTTTTTCTGTTTCTTGCATAGATTGTTCAAGCTTTATTTTTTATTTAAAAAAATTAAATATAATTAAAATAAAATTTTAATTTTTGTCAGCACATACAGGTGTTCTCACCTAGGTACTTGTTATTATATAATTGGTTTCCATTGTTGTGCTTTATTGTAACTTGTTTATTATTGTAACTCATTGTAACTTATTATTATTAAATACACATGATATGATATTGTGGGGTGATAAATCGTACTATTACATTATGAATGCGGCACATTTTTAGTATTCTAGAAAAAGGAAAAATATAAACTTTTATGATATATCACTCGACCTATGTTGCTATTTAAAAAAATTCAAGATGAAGGCGATACGCTAATTGCTGATGTTACATAATTTGTCTAAATTTATCTCGAGAGTAGTATATTCCTACTAATAACGGACTATTAGTCCTATAATTGTTGATTTAAGAACTTCTTTTGATAAGTGTTTTTCAAAGTTCAGACCACTTTTGGTAAATATTCATTATGGATGGGTCCAAAATAAGTTGTATAAAAATAGTAATTAATAAAGAATAACTTCATGATCAAGGCCATGGTACCGTTAGTTTGAAGGTTCCCATAATTTTGGTAAAATTGAGATGCGAATTTAAATTATATATCTAATTCATAGATGTCAATGGTAAAATAATAAAACCGTAGATATCCAATTTATAGTTATTTTATATTCAAGCATAGATAAGATTATGAAAATGGTGATTAATTTTTATGATAAACTGTGTTATAAGAATTCTTAGAAAATTATCAAAAATTACGACTCGAAAAAGATAAGACAAATTCGTAGTAAGTTAAATAAAATATTGAATTTAAATAGTATTTATATTGAATTGATCAGTAATATAGAAGAGTGTCAAAGGGCCCTAATAAATTCAAACAAAATGTTAAAGACATCAATACATAATAGTGATGGAACTTTTTTCATGAAAAGTAATTTTTGGACTAATCCAATGCACATGTCCAGAAAAGTAATGAAAAGTCAAAATGAAAAGTAGTCAACCTTGGTCATAGAAGACCCACAGTTAAATTTCCATCCTGGAGGTTTTTTCAAAAACACTTTGAAAACAATATTTTTATTTTCGTTTTTTTTAAGCAAATCATTTGTAAAATACTTCCAACTTTTGATTTTTTTGGTCATTTTTTCACGTGTTTATTTTAATAAGATATGAAACTAAAATTCAAAAACATTGTTAAAACCCCAGTATAGATATCTATAGAGCTCTATACTGGGGTTAAAACAAGTCAGTAATCATTTGTCGTTTCTTCAATTTTAAACTGTATTGTGTCTTTGTTTGTAAGACATTCAGACAAATTAATTACTTTAATGTCGCACATGCGCAATACACTTTTCCACTTTTGAAAGGTGTGTTTGAACTAGCCAATTTTTCAGACTAGTCTGTGGACTTTTTCAAGCGACCCATCACTAATAAATAACATGCTAGACTCAACATTAAATTAAATTATATGGCTACTACCGAGCATTTCTTCCTCCATCTATAGTTGAATACCAAAATAATAGACAGTAATTTAATGTGTGAAGAATGCTGTCATAAGTTATTTTGCTGAAGTTTAGAGAAATTAAACAGAAATATAAAAACATTTTTTTTAATTTTGACATATTTTGTAATCGCGGCAAGTGTCAAAAGGATCTACTTTATGCAACTAGTTGATAAAGTAGAACATTATGCAACCAGTTGATAAAGTAGAAAATTATGCAACTGATTACGAAAAGTTGATTATGTCACCAGTTACAAAATAAAAATAAATAAAAATGCCTTTTTTGTGGTTTTTAAAATAAAATTCGAAACATTAAAAAATCAAAAAAGGCAATGAATAGTGACATTTCACATATGACATTCCATTTAACAACAAAAAAATAAAAGCTGTAAAGTTTTATTTTTTAAAAAATTGAACATCGTTATTGAAAACTGCCCAGAAATGTTGAGGTTAAAATTTTGACGTACTTTAAGAATAACGTGTAAAAACGTTTTTTTTTTTTTAATTTCCTGCGCGTAATATCAAAAATCAGATCGGCAACACTACACATGTCCCTTATTTTTATTAATACAATTGAAAAAAAAAAAGTCATAGAGCAATCAAATATTTGATTGGAAGTATCTACAAAAGAATGATGGTGAATCATTTTTTAACCAAACACAATTTTATAAATAATCAAGTCAAAATTAAAAAAAAAATCTTGTGTTACACAAAATAAGGCATTTCGTAAATGATTACATAAATAGCTATTATATTACTAATATATAAATGCGAAAGTTTGGATAAATGTTTGTTGCTCAATCACGTCAGAACGGCTGAACGGATCTGGATGAAATTTGGCACAAAGATATGTGATAGTCTGGAATAGTACATAGGCTACTTTTAATCACGGAAAATGTACGGTTCCCGTGGGATAATTGGTGTTTGTTTTTCACAGAGCAAAGGATCAGACATTGTTTTTTGCATAGTGGTAGTGAAACATGAAAATTTGAAATACAGCTACTGAAAATAAATAAATAATGTCGTGTTTCAGGGTTTTTGGATTTTCACATTTTAAGGGGGAGAAATTGATTTTTTTAAAGGTAGGAACTTGAAAATTGGAATTATAGCTCATCACAAATAAATAAGGGTGTGTGCTTCAGGGTTATTGAATTTTCATATTTTAAGAGATAAAAGAGGGAAAAGTGGAAAAGGGGAAAAATGGGGAAAAATATGAAAAAGGGGAAAGAGTAAAAAGAGAGGAAAAGGACAGGAAAAGAGGGTGAAAGTTCGTATGAAGGTATCGATTTTTTAAAGGTGGTAATTAGAAAATTGAAATTGTAGCTACTAATTATAAATAAATGTTTCAGGGTTTTTGGATTTTTACATATAAAGGGGCAAAACAGGAGGTGAAAGTTTATATGACACTTTCGGTTTTTTAAAGGTAGAAACTTGAACATTGGAATTGTAGCTACTCATCAAATAATGACGTAATCCAAGGTTTTGGATTTTTACATTTTAAGTAAAGGAGGGGGAATAGGAAGTATCGTAAAAATAAATAAAAATAAAATAAATAAAAATACATAAATAAAACTTATTAAAACATAATAAAAAAATAAAAATTGATAAAAATTAATAAAAACATTAAAATTTATTAAAAAATATCGAAAATTAATGAAAATTAATAAAAAAATGAATAAAAATTATTAAAAATCAATAAAAATTATTAAAAATTTATATAAATATATAAAAATTAAAAAAAAATTGATAAAAATAATAAAAAAAAAAATTAATAAACAAATTTTCCAGATATTGCATGAAAAAATTTCTTTTGAGTAACTGTTATTCACTTTTAATAAATTAGGTTTGAGAAATTCCAGCGAAGCGAGATCGGATCAACTAGTGTTTATATAATTTTTTATATTTTTGTTTATATTTTATTTTTTTTTTATTCGGTACCATCGGCATCATTTTGTTATATATTAGGATGTACACTTCGCGTCTTATAAAACTGGTACACTTATTTTTTCCAATGTAAAACCAACTTTACTTTTGAAAATGACAAAAAGTAAGATTTGTCAAGTTTGTCAAAGCGCATTGTTACGATGTCAGGTCATTTGAGTAAGTTTGAAAAAAGCACGATTAAGAGCTTTGCTAAAATGGGACAATAATCAAATTGCAAACAGAAAAAAAGGGGACTATGAGTCCAGTTATAACTACAGCACAACAAGATGAAACATTGACTAATTATTTACAGCAAAATAGGCAAAAGTTGAAACAAACTTTGTTGCTTCAGTAACAAAAGTATTAAAAATAATTGAATCGGTCATTTGAGAAACAGCACATGTCAGTTTTAGCTCATTTTTCAAAAAATAAGAAAAAGTGAAAATCTCAAAACATGGACAAAAAATAGTTTTGTACACTTAAAACTTGCTCTATTTTGGGTATAATACAATAATTATAATTTACCTTTAAATATTGTATTTTTGTAATAAAAACAAAATGGCCAAAAATGTGACATGTGTCGTTTCTCAAATGACCGATTCAATTAGAAAAACTGTTTTAAAGAATGGTACAGCCCAGCCGCCACGATAATGCTAAATAAGCTAATTAGAGTTATCTTCACATTAAATTTTATTGTTTTAAATGATCCAGTAAAGCTTGGCAGAAGATGAAAAGTTAACAATAAATTTAATTAACTCAGTGCTTAGAAGATTACAAGAAGCTATGACAATATATTAATTATTTATTTCATCTGTTTCGAATTGTCAAATGTATTTAAATTACAAACTTATTCATTTTAGATTACATTAAATTTTTCCATTGCATTTTATTGCTTTACCTATCACTGCATCTACTAATACTTTTGTTATGCTGGCAAGGTTATTTTAGAAATTATAATCTAAAAAGCAGTTTGATACATTTTAATAGCTTAAAAAGCACAATTTTTTGTTATAAGAGTTGTACCACTTTTATATGACACAAAGTGTACCTATTTTAATAAAGCAATCTATCTATTCCCATAATTTTAAATGTATGTTGACTATATAATGTCGTTCGATACCGGTCCTGCTCTATAAGGCGACACCCGGTCTATATTGATACATCCGAGATAATACCAGAATGCTCTTCATGTATGTACTAACTCATAAAGCAAGGGTTTTCGCTTTGTACCTAACCGTCTAGAGATCACCGACGCAACGACAGCATTACGAGATCTTTCTACACAACCCTAGAATTCATTGGAAGATAACATTTCTAATATAAATAGACTATTTGTACATAGTTAAGTTTCAATATAAACGGTGTAAAGATAAATTATAAATGTGTTAAAAAATTAGAATAGTACCCAAGTATTAATTAAATTAATAGTACGTTATGAATAAATAAACTATTTCTAAATTAAAGAATCGTTAGAATTCTTATGCATTTCGATTTTAAACGCAAAGACTGTGTATTGCCATGTAAATTAATTATTAAAACCAAATAAAAGAGTTTAACTTACCAGTTGGTTAGAAACGTCAGAGTGATCTTTCCTGGTCATACCCTCACCAATGGCGGATTTCATCAAACGAGACAAAGAGGGCAATACATTGACTGGAGGATAGATTTGCCTATTGTGCAATTGACGGTCTACGTAGATCTGTCCCTCGGTAATATAACCTGTCAAATCGGGAATTGGATGGGTAATATCGTCGTTAGGCATAGTCAAGATGGGAATCTGCGTAATGGAACCGTTACGACCTTCGACACGACCGGCACGTTCGTAAATGGTGGCCAAATCGGTGTACATGTAACCTGGGAAACCACGACGACCGGGCACTTCTTCTCTGGCGGCGGATACCTATAAAGGGAAAACAAACTTTTAATATCCAATAAGAATATAAACTAAAAATCTGTACTATATGGTTTATTACAAATTAGTAATCCTCAACCTACGGTGCAAATAAACGATGGAGAAATAATACTAGTGAAAAGCAATGATAACTGAACGAGTACATAAATTGAAAGACTAGGTTTTTTAAATTTTTGAAAGAATAACCAAATATAGAAAATATTTTTGGTGAACAAAGAACTTGGCTTCATCAAAGTTACCTATTTTAGCCACCAGATAAACTACCACAATTTTACAATCGTGAATGTTAATTCAAAAGAACAGCTAAATCCTTCTGTTTTTTCTTATATTTGGCTAGAAACGAATACTTCCAAAGATTGTAAGTCAATAGCCCCTGCACTATACCACTTTTTGAAGAAATTTATAGTTCATGAATCTGTCCATTTATTTGTCAATGGAGGTAGAGGTCAGAATAAAAATTGTGCAAAACAGCTATGCTTCCTTCTTGATTCAAGTTAAATCAAAAATTCTTTATTATTGAATAATTAAATATATTCGTATTAACAAAGATAGATAACATAATAATATAAGAAAGTTAAAAATTTAAATTCAACGAAAAAGAAACGAAACAAACAACATTTTTTTAAATGAAATTTTTTGTGTTTTAAAATTTTTTTAAATGTTAATGTCGAAACAAAGTATAAAGAAAAAAATATGCATATGCATAATAGACCATCATATAGTGACAGATTTAAGTGCCCCATTTTTGCATACAAGCCTCGAAGAAGGTTGAAAAGTACATCAATTTTAAGTAGAATGAAAACAAATTTACAAGTGGCTCCTGGAGATAATACATGGAAAATTCGATTTTACCCAACAAAAATGAAAGGTTATTTGTTACCCATATTTCCACGCAAGCTGTTTTCACTATGATTAATTAATAGAACTAGGCTTTGGAAAACTAAAGGCTTTAATGTACATCCGAGAAAATATCATCGTCACTAGTCCAAAAAATATATTTTCTTGAATCACCTAAATGTATAAATGCATTTTGGGGTCAAAAAATTTTTCTGATAAGGAAAATCTAATTTTCCATGTGTTATCCCCAAAAGCAACTTGTAAATTTTCTGTTAATCTACTCAATATCGATTTACTTTTCAATCCTCTTAGAGGATTGTATGCAAAAATGGGGCACCTAAAACAGTCACTATCTGATGATCCGGTTTGTAACACCAAGTACAAATGACAATCAGAAAATATACAGTGTTTCTAAATTCATCCGACAAAATTCACGGTTTACTTTGAGGATCAATATTCTGATCAGTATATACTGACTGGAAGTATTCTGCAAAAAGATCAGGTAAATCTGTTCCCAAATGACATCGACTATCATTAACAAAATTCCAAAACTGTTTTATGTTTCTATGGTCTGTTAAAAAAGACTCAGAATTTACAATAAACTGTTGATAGCACCCTTTTGATAAAATTTTACAATCAGAACGTAATTTACTATAGTTAACATAATCGCTTCGTAATCCTGAACTTTTAAATTTTTTGTGAGCTTGTTTTTTCAATATTGTCAGCTGCTTTAACTCTGGGGAGAACCATAATGGAAATTTTCTTTTGGATGCTTTTTTCTATGGAATTATAGCATGGATAAAAAAATAAAGAATATCATAAAAAATAATAACCATATCATTCGCTGAGTGATGTAATATTCCTCAATATTCCTTAAAATTTGTGTAAGCTTCATCAGTCTTTGTTACAGAGTAGTTTTTTATTAGGTACAAGGAGTGCATATTTTTTTGCTGAAATTTTAATCCCTTTAGTTACCCAAGCCTTTTTGGGTTTGTTTATTAGTGTTTTTATAGGAAAAGCATTATTTTTCAAAAGTAGTATGAATCTGCTGAAAAAGTCTGAGGATGACAAAATATTAAACCAATTTTACGGTTGAGAAAATTTATTGTAATTAGATTTACTAAATAATCTTCCAGATTTAGTTGTTGAAGTATTAGTCAAGAGAGTAGTTGTTTTCAGGGGAGAAAGGGTCGCTTTGACATGGTCTTTAAGTTAAAACCAAACTCATCTCCTAATATTAAAATTTTCCTTAGATACTGACCGGATTCCTTTAGATTAAATATATTTAAACTGTAGGTGGACAAAAAGGTTCAGACACAAAAGTTTTAATTGGTAAAAACATTATCAAATCAAGCAATAATTATTTTATTCCATTCCAAATAAATGATCAGTTATTCCATAGTTTACTTATTTATTTTTATCACTGAATGGAAAAAGCACTTTATTCTGTATTTTTTGATATAAAACACATAATTATTGTTAACATAGAAGAGCAAAAATCTTCTATTATTACAGAAAGGACACTCATAAAAAATAAACAAAAAATCAGCATAAAACTCAATGATTGGTTAGACTCTAGACTCGTGAGCACTTATTGTGACAAATCACTTGACTATTTTGACAAATGAAAAAAATAATCTTTCTGGCAAAATACAAACCTCACGCAAAGCTTCAGCATATGAAGACATATCAGTCAATATGACCAGGACGTGTTTTTCGCATTGGTAGGCCAAAAATTCAGCTGCTGTAAGAGCCAAACGTGGTGTAATAATTCTTTCAATAGTGGGATCATTAGCCAAGTTCAAAAACAGACATACATTTTCCATGGAACCATTTTCTTCGAAATCTTGTTTGAAAAACCTAAAATTTTATATATATTTCAGTTGATAATTCTCTCTAAAATATCTTAGTAATGAATTCAAAGACAGGGATGGCTTTTTTTATTTGTTTTTACCTAGCAGTTTCCATGTTAACTCCCATAGCAGCAAACACAATAGCAAAGTTATCTTCATGGTCATCCAATACAGATTTGCCGGGAATTTTGACAAGACCGGCTTGTCGACAAATTTGAGCAGCAATTTCGTTGTGAGGCAGACCAGCGGCCGAGAAAATGGGAATTTTTTGGCCACGGGCAATGGAGTTCATTACGTCGATGGCGGAGATACCAGTTTGGATCATTTCTTCAGGATAAATACGTGACCATGGGTTGATAGGTTGACCTTGGATATCTAAGTAATCTTCTGCCAAAATTGGGGGACCTGAAACAATTGATTAAATAAAAAAATTCGCCAATGATAAGAAAATATATAAATATTGAAAAATAGCGGAAGTATATGACAAAAAAAATAGAAAACCTTATAAATTGATTTAATCATTTTTTTACTTCATTTTATGGCCTTTGTTGTATACCAAATTAGCCAGTCTCATGTTTGTGATTTGGTTTTTATTAGTTAACCATTATTTTGTTTATAGTAATTATGTATAAATTTTTAAAACCTCGATTTAATAATAATAATAAAGTTGTACATGTTTTTTCTACCTTTATCAATTGGTTTTCCAGATCCGTTGAACACTCTACCCAACATATCCTCAGATACTGGAGTTCTGAGAATATCACCAGTGAATTCACATACTGTGTTTTTGGCATCAATTCCTGAGGTGCCTTCAAATACTTGTACTACAGCTTTATTCCCACTGACTTCCAAAACTTGACCAGATCTTAAAGTTCCATCAGCCAATCTAAGTTGGACAATTTCGTTGAATTTTGGGAACTTTACATCTTCCAGAATTACCAGTGGACCATTGACACCAGATACCGTTTTATAAGCTGAAAAATAAGATATATTAATCAAAATTTTATTTGACTAATTGAACTAGTTTATTTTTTATAACATTTTTCACCCTCATCCCAGAAAGAAAGACTAATACACACTGCACCTTCAGATAACTAGGGAAGCAAATTAAATTAAAGGGTTATTTACTGAAGATTTTGATAATTATAAAGCCAAATGATCTCTCTAGAAGTATTAGATTAGCAATTTAGAAACCAATAAATAACAACAAAGAACAAAATTAATAGGTATAGAATCTTAGCACATATTATATACTTCATATTAAAAACAATGTTATAGATTTGACTGGAAATTAATTTGTTGCTATTCTGTGGAAATAAGTGAAACTACTTTAAAATGAAAACAATACCTACAAATTGTTGGTCTTGATTTTAGTCATACCTTTGTACCTAAACAGAAATTTATTAATCCAATATTTTTCAGCATGAAAGATATTATATTTTTTTAAAGTAATAGTAATACCCAAAATTAAATACATATATCTGATAAAAATTAACCAAAAATATACATTTTTAATTAGAATTAATTGGTCATAGGTATACTATAGAAAATTTCATTATTGTTCCAAGTTATATCATTTAAATTTATCTATGATATAGGTAATTTATATTTTTAGTAAATGAAATATTAACTATATGTGAAAACTGTGGTTTAATTATTGAAGCAAACTTTGAAAATATCCTAAAATTTGTAGTTTTTATGAGGAGTGGCATATCATAAGATGTCACATGATAACATAAACAGCTGATTTCAAAAGAGATTTAGAAGTCGAGAAAATATAATAAACTCAATAAACTGTACTTGTTCAGTTTAGAATACATTAAATTTCTTTAAAATAACGAAAATAATCAATAATAATAAGAAAATTTGGTCATATGACCCGTTTATCGTCCACCATTAGTTTTGAAGACCCACCCAAGTTACACAGGTTTTTCTTGGGGAATCAACTAACTAAACTATATTGAACATTTGTAAATACTTACTGAGTCTGGGCTGAGATACAAAATCTCTGGAAACAGCCAAAATATGTTCCCGTGAGGCCTGTTTTGCATTTAACGTCGAAGGGTAAGACATCTTCTCTGAAGGAAAGATACGTCTGTCACAAACCACAAAAACTCAGCAACTGAAAATTATCGAATCTATTCACGTGGTGTCATGTGATATTAAACTCAAAACTCACACAATAGATGGCACCCGGTGCTAAAATCAACAGAATAATTTTTGACTAACCAGCTTGAAATATTAAAACTAGAAGTTCCTAGCATATAAAAATATTTTAAGCATATTGAACTCTACGGAAAGATTAATTTTAATTTTTTATTCTCAATTTCTTTAAAACATTTTTACCTACTAAGCGACATCTACCATAAATTTAAGTTAATTAGTAAAGTACAAACCATGACATTTTGACAATGTAGGGATCGTTCCTTATCATCGACACTAAATTCTAGACTAAAAATAAGAAACATTTTTTTTAAACACTGATCGTTATGAAGACTAGGGATAAGGAGACGAATCGGCATACACAAAATACGGTCCCAAAAAACGCATGCTAATTAAGCTTCTATAATTAACCGCATGGGCTCTGGTACTGCATACGTAGTTCAAAATACATGGCTTCTTATAAGAATTATACATAATTTTGTCAAAATAATAAAAATAAACTTGTTTACAGCTCAGTAAAGCACAGACCATACTGTTTTATTTATTTCTAAATAAGTCTTGCATGTTTTAATTGATAAATTATTTAATTTTTCTATAGAAAAAACAAATTAGGTATATATGACCAAATTCGAAAAGGTTTCTTAATTGCTGAAATTTGATAAGTACAATTTTGTGGCAATTTTTTTTTAAATTGAACCAATATATAGTTTTAAGAGTAAAATAAAACACAGTTAACATATTTTTTTATTGTTGTAATACAAGTATAAAGGGAGATTTGGAAAAGTACATGGTATTACCTCATCCTTTAATTTCAGCTTTCCACTTTTTATTTTGCTAACAGTACTATCAGTAAAAATAGTCTCATAATATTTGTTAATATCTTCTAAAAAGTATAGAACAGCATCATTTCTAGAAAGTCCTTTATCGGCACTAGGAACGATATATATGCTGCCACTGTTCTAAACGTTTAGTATCCTATAACATTTAGAATGACACAATGGGGTCCAAAAAAAAACAATAACAACTCTTTATCTAACATTCAAACTCTATAAAAAATAAATTTGCTTTTCTAGTAAGTTAAATTTAATGCATAATTATTGTTGTTTGTAAGTCAGCATCTATAACTGCAAAATTTTATATTATAGAAACTTATAATAAAATAAACTACACTTCGTAAGACACATATTGTGACGAATTTACAATAAATATTATATTTAGACATGAATACATTATTTTACTTACATTAAAAGCTTTAAAAAGACATTGAACTGATTTCTTCTGGTGTTTTCTTTAGTTTTACATTTGATTTTTATCCTATTTTATAATCTGAAACGACGTAAATCTTGCTTTGATGTTTTTTGTCACTCATGTTACTTGTACTCAGGTACTTTTTTTCACATTATTTTGATTCTTTTCATCATTTTTTTAAAAAATCACTTTATTTTACATTGACTTACATAGAAAATTGACTGCGTTGTCATTAGACATGCCAACTACAGTCAATTTCGCGAACTTTATAATAAGAACGACGGAAATTTAAAATTTGACCATTGCCTATTCGCCTCCTTATCTCTAGTCTTTATAATCAGAGTACACGTCACATCCACAACAAGAATCAGAAACAAATAAAAATATAATTAATTACTAATTTACCGGTGATCAAACAGAACAAAGTTAAAGGAAAAGTAAAGGAAATGATAAAAAATTAACAAGAACTTAGATGAAAGACATTCAAAATCATATATATAAATAAAGAAAAATGTGGAAGAAAAATGTAAATAGTAGTATGCAGGAATGGTATCATAGACCTTTTATAATGGTATGTATGGTTACTATCTAGCAACTAGCAACGATCAATGATGTGAATGAATGCATGAATGCTTTTATAAAGTGAATGTAGATGCCGCTACAAGAAAAATTGTGACTACTAATTGACGAGTCGTTAATTTAACAATTTTTTTAAAAATACGATATTATTTTGAGTAAAATTAGCTAACAGTTCTTGGAATAACTTAACGAAAAGCTTCTGTACCATACTGATCGATGTTTGTAGTAATTGTATAAATATATGTAAGTTCGACAAATATTAATTTTCGATAGTGACGGTAGCTAAGTCACTCTGAATTCTGAATAGTTGCAATTTTATTTTTGTTTTGAGGTTAATTAATTTTAATAATACATATATAAATCTTGTTTATTTTGAGTTTATCTATAAAAAAAGTGTTAGTGTTCATTGGCCTCCAGCACAATTAAATGAGGGTAAGTTTTATTTATGTTTAAAATAATTATTGTTTGAATTGTACTAAATCTAAATTTACATACCATATTACCTATTATTTGTGAACCAGATGCTGTCGATGGTAAAAAAGCTGTTTGGCTTTTTTAGAGGATAGTAAACTTTTAACAAACGTTCAAATTTGAATATAATCACTTAATATCCTTCTATTAAGTATATTCCTCTAGTCCTCTGTAAGTATAGACATGGTAACTTAATTGGATTGACAAAAAATTCGTCTCAAATTCTATATATGAGTAGCTATATATGTACCTACTTACATATAACAACAAAAATGAAAATCTACCTAGCTATTTAGGTAGGGAATATTTGGCTACCTATTTGTAAATAATATCAGATTAAGTAATGTTTTTCAAATTTACCTACATTTAGAAATGAGTCCAATAAAGGGTGCAGTGAGTAAAATATTTTTTGATTACCTATATTATCTATTCCTATTAAGAAAATATAATTATTGCTTTAATTAAAATGTGACAAAATTAAAATTACAAGTTAATTCAGTCATGTGATTTTAAACTTGTGATAGATACACTTCTAATGTAAATGCCTAGTAAATTGTATGGTTATTCTGTTGGTGGTATTATTGGCTCCCATTTTAGTGATTACAGTATCTTTCAAACAAGAAAACTGCTAAAAATATTGAATTATATTAAAACAATCTAGTGTTTTACATAAAAGTTATACAAGGGATTTTCGATGACTAATAGATTGACTTAGAGAGTTACTTATTTGAGGTATATAAAACTTGTAAAATACTTGTTAGAGGTTTACATAAATAAACTTTTGGTGTTAAAGTGTTATTGCAGTACAAAAGTTTTTAGATTAGGCAATTGAGAAAGAACTCTTCATCATACAACTTTAACCAGATATGTGCCAGAAATACTTACAATATCATGTAGTTTGCATTCAATTATATGAAATAGAAATAGAATTTATTCATCTTTGAGAATTATACACTATACAAAGACACTAGGTACATAATGTAAAATCCTATCAGACTAGTCAAAAAAGTGTTAAGTAAAATACATTAAAAAATAAAATATATATAATAGACAATTCATGTTGAGATTAGTTTAAAAGTTCAAAAAATCTTCTGTACTATAAAATAAATTATTTACAAGAAAATCATTAAGATGTTTTCTTAAATCATTATGACTAATTTGATGATAACCTGTAGTATCTTCTAATATGTTACTGAACTTATTGTAACACTTAATCCCAATATATTTTGGTGAATGTTGGCTTCTTTTTAGTTGTGAAAAAGGTTGATGGATGTTAAATTTTAATCTAGTATCATATGAGTGCAGGTCTTTATTTTTCTTAAATATATGCTCATTATCTTTTATGTATAAAATTAGTTGAAAAATAAAAAGGGAAGGTAGTGTTAAAATTTGCGTTTTCTTGAAAAGTTATTTACATGATGTTGTTGGTGTCACCTTATACTTGACTCTCAGAACCTTCTTTTGAGATACAAAAGCTCTTTCAAAGTATGGTGAAGAACTCCAAAATATTAACCCATATTGTAGAGTTGAATAAACCAAACCAAAATAGCATAGTTTTAAAGTATCAAAAGATAGTGTCTTCCTTAAATTTTTGATGATATAACAACAAGTACTTAATTTTGAAGTTACCATTTTTATATGAACTTCCTAATTTAATTTGGGATCTAATATTATTCCTAAAATTTTTATGTCATCTACGCTTTGAATAGTTTTTCCGTCAACGTCCAAGTAGGGTTCATAATTTGGTAATAGGTTTTTGGGTAGAAATTGCATGAAGTTTGTTTTTGTTACATTTAATGCCAGATCGTTATCTTTACAATACTGGTTGAACTCACGAGATACCTCGTTGCTACTTTGAGTGACATATTGAACTATTTGTTGAGAGCTTAAAAAAAAAGAAGTGGGCCCAAAATTGAACCTTGGGGAACTCCTATTGTACATGGAAGAGAATAAAATTTTAGACTATTTGTAACAATTACTTGAGTTCAATTTATTAAGTAAGACTATCCATTCATAAGGTTTCCCTTGTATTCCTAACCCATTCATCTACAATAATAAAAGATTATGATCCACCATATCAAATGCACGGCTAAGGTCATAGAAGACTCCCAAAATATGTTTTTTATCATTGAGTGCTTGATATATAAACTCTAGGCAAGCTGCATTTGCAGTAGATGTTGACTTACCTATTTTTTCTAAATCCATTTTGAGTATCTGGCAACATATTAAAACTTTCAAGGTAATTAGTGAGTATAATAAAATTTGCTGACTCAAATATTTTAGTTATTTGACTAGCAGTGGCGGCTCGTGGTAATTTAAAATGGGTGTTCACTTTTTCCAATAATTTTATACTTTGTAAGTTCGGATCAAAACTTTGTACAAGAGTCCATATCGCTGTTTTTTTATTATTTGAGTTTGTATTAAGTGTAGTTATTATTATCAACATCATACTGTTTTCAAGCACTACAACTATTAATAAATGAATATTTTAGTTAGTGTAATATTTGTTTTGTTTTTAATACGTTAAAAACCATCTATAAATATTATTAGTTAGTAATCTGACTTTTCTTCATAATTTGAAATTATTTTTAAATATATATAGAAAGCTTGACA